CACCAACAGTAACTTTAGAGATTTGCAAAAATCACTACAAGTAGAATTCTTGACGAGTGAAAATGACTACACGTTATATTGCCAAGTGTGGAAATCGTTGCAAATGGAAGTTGCCTCGCGCTAAATCGCCATATGCAGAAATCACTACAAGTAGAATTGCCGGCGACTGGAAATAGTTATACGTTATATTGCCAAGTGTGGAAATCGTTGCAAATGGAAGTTGCCTCGCGCTATATTGCCATATGCAGAAATCATTACAAGTAAAATTCCTGACGAATGAACATGGCTACACGTTATATTGCCAAGTGTAGAAATCGTTGCAAATGGAAGTTGCCTCGCGCTATATCGCCATATGTAGAAATCACTACAAGTAGAATTGCCGGCGAGTGGAAATAGTTACACGTTATATTGCCAAGCGTAGAAATTGTTGCGAGTGGCAGTTGCCGCGCGTTATATCGCCGTATGTAAAAATCACAAGTAGAATTACCAACGAGTGGAAATAGTTACATATTATATTGCCAAGAGTGAAAATCGTCGCGAGTGGAAGTTGCCTCGCATTATATTGCTGTATGTTGAACGAGTGAAAATGACTACACGTTATATTGCCAAGTGTGGAAATCGTTGCAAATGGAAGTTGCCTCGCGCTATATCGCCATATGCAGAAATCACTACAAGTAGAATTGCCGGCGAGTGGAAATAGTTACATATTATATTGCCAAGAGTGGAAATCGTCGCGAGTGGAAGTTGCCTCGCATTATATTGCTGTATGTTGTAATCGTTGCGAGTGGAAGTTGCCTCGCGTTATATTGCCATATGCAGAAATCACTACAAGTAGAATTGCCGGCGAGTGAAAATAGTTACACGTTATATTGCCAAGCGTAGAAATCGTTGCGAGTAGCAGTTGCCTCGCGTTATATCGCCATATGCTGAAATCGTTGCGAGTGGAAGTTGTCTCGCGTTATATTGCCATATGTTGAAATTGCCACAAGTAGAAATGTTAACAAGTGAAAATGGTCACACGTTATATTGACGCGCATAAAAATCGTGTAAATGAAACTCACCTCGCGTTATATCGCCATATATAGAAATCGCAACGAGTAGAAATTCCGACAAGTGAAAAATCGTCACAGATCACTACACATGGAAATCATTGCGAGTGGAACCTCGCGTTATATCGCCATAGGAATTGTTACAAATAAAAATCCTAACGATTGAAAATGTTCACACGTTATATCACTTTGCATGGAAATCACCGCGAAATTGTCACACCGTATATCGCCACAAGTAAAATTGGTATGCGTAGAAACACATCCAGACGCGAATCTAGCGACGCGTTATATCGCCACGCGTGTACATCGCTCCGTGAATGACTAACCATACCCGGCGTTAATAATGAAAGGGTTAATAGTGGACAGTGTGTACGATGTGCGAACTGCACTGAATATTCATAATTCAGGCAACAACCCCTGAGCCGGTTCGTTCGCATAATAGCAGGCTATTGGCGCGCGCAACCACGCGAACATGAATTATTTATGGGGTAAATTATAAGGCACCCTCTCCGCCTCGTCAAATGACAAAACTCTTAATTGCGGATCACGTTAACCGCCGACAGTTTTATGCGCTTTAATTGTACACCACTTGCGCTTTTATTTATCGCCATCGCCGATCGAGGTTGGCGTCATAAACGGTTAAAGGGGAATGCTGTCGATGATGGATCAAAAGATTGAATTTTTTCCTCTTCGAACAGAGGGTCTCGTAAAAATCGAACATCCGTCGATAAAACGCATCCGCAATACGCGCCTGTTATACTCGCTGACCTATTTTCCCTCGTAATTCGCTGAAAACAATGCAGGCTACGATACTGATTAACGAACGGGCTGATTAGAAGGAGACCACCCACCCTCTTTTCTTCACACTTTCTGGGCTAGTTCGCCAACTCGTACGACTCTCACCCGTCGCAGCCTCTTTGTATTCGATATTCTGACACTAAAAATTTTTCCTTTCTCCAGTTTATTAATTGTCAAATATCCACATACCGAAATATTTACGCGAAGCAACTGCCACTCGCAACGATTTCTACGCTTGGCAATATAACGTGTAACTATTTCCACTCGCCGGCAATTCTACTTGTAGTGATTTCTGCTAATGGCGATATAGCGCGAGGCAACTTCCATTTGCAACGATTTCCACACTTGGCAATATATCGTATAGGCATTTTCACTCGTCAGGAATTATACTTGTAGTGATTTTTGCATATGGCGAAATAGCGCGAGGCAACTGCCACTCGCAACGATTTCTACGCTTGGCAATATAACGTGTAACTATTTCCACTCGCCGGCAATTCTACTTGTAGTGATTTCTGCTAATGGCGATATAGCGCGAGGCAACTACCATTTGCAACGATTTCCACACTTGGCAATATATCGTGTAGCCATTTCCACTCGTCAGGAATTCTACTTGTAGTGATTTTTGCATATGGCGAAATAGCGCGAGGCAACTGCCACTCGCAACGATTTCTACGCTTGGCAATATAACGTGTAACTATTTCCACTCGCCGGCAATTCTACTTGTAGTGATTTCTGCTAATGGCGATATAGCGCGAGGCAACTTCCATTTGCAACGATTTCCACACTTGGCAATATAACGTGTAGCCATTTTCACTTATCAGGAATTCTACTTGTAGTGATTTTTGCATATGGCGATATAGCGCGAGGCAACTGCCACTCGCAACGATTTCCACTCTTGACACTATAACATGTTGTGATTTACACTCGTCGTAATCTTTACACGTAACAATTTCTATGCGTTACAATTACCTCAAATGACGATGCTACTGTTATTGAATTGTGTTTTATGGCAATATAACGCGTGCTGACTTTCATGCTCGACTATATAACAGACTATTTTATTTTTACATGTCGATTTGCACATATGCTGTTTGCCACTTAAGGTGACTATGATTATATAGTTATATAGTTACATAGTTGGATGTATAGTTATGTGAATAGTTATATAGTTACCTAGTTATATGCATAGTTATACAGTTATAGTTATACGATATACGCTATAGTATAACAAGAATCATACGTATCGACATATGTGAAAATATACCGCATGAAACCAACTAAAAATATTATGTTACGTTTCTTTTGAAATCGACCCCACCAAAGCGTATTATTTAACACAGATAACGTGTACATTCTCCAAAAGGCAATATACCATTTCGAAACGTAATAATGATTCAGTGGAAATGCGTAATTTCGTTCATTACCCGTCAGATTTGTACGTCATTCAAGTGTAATCGGATTCTGTCGGATTTTATTATTCCGTGCATGAACCGTGTCACCGTCTCGTCCGTTTTAATTAATTGACTGTAATCCTGTCATGAAATGGCTGGCGATGACACGGCCGCTTACATCCAACTCGAAATCCGAATGCAAAAACGATAGAATCGATTTGCTCTTATTATCTCGTCGACGCGAAATTGTCGCGGTATCACGTTTTTCTTCCTTCGTGATCGTTACACGCTCGAGAGCTCACGCTCGTTTCGGATGGTTGCCATTAATTGGCCACCATCGGTGATTCTTCCTTTTTAATTCAAACAGAAATTGCTGCGTTCGCGGTATCGTGCTACGCTCGAAAAACGATATTGCGTATCCGTTCATTTTTCACGGATTTTCGAGGATTTTTCTAACATTTCTCTTTTATTAAGCTGTTTTATTATATTCGTTATTGTTTTACAGGCGCACTACTATTTTAGTACTTTGGTAATTCATCGTATTCATATTTATTTTACTGTGCCACTGTACTATTCTGTTATAGTACTATTTTAGTTTCACCTTAGTACTTTACTTTTATTATAACATTATTTTAATTATAATACTACTACTACTGTTGTATTACAATTCTACTGTTACATTATACTATTTATTTCCTCATACTCACATTTATTTTACTGTGCCACTGTACTATTCTGTTATAGTACTATTTTAGTTTCACCTTAGTACTTTACTTTTATTATAATACTATTTTAATTATAATACTACTACTACTGTTGTATTACAATTCTACTGTTACATTATACTATTTATTTCCTCATACTCACATTTATTTTACTGTGCCACTGTACTATTCTGTTATAGTACTATTTTAGTTTCACCTTAGTACTTTACTTTTATTATAACATTATTTTAATTATAATACTACTACTACTGTTGTATTACAATTCTACTGTTACATTATACTATTTATTTCCTCATACTCACATTTATTTTACTGTGCCACTGTACTATTCTGTTATAGTACTATTTTAGTTTCACCTTAGTACTTTACTTTTATTATAATACTATTTTAATTATAATACTACTACTACTGCTGTACTACAATTCTACTGTTACATTATACTATTTATTTGCCTCATACTCACATTTATTTTACTGTGTCACTGTAGTACTATTCTTTTTTCGTTATAGTACTATTTTAATTTCACCTTAGTACTTTACTTTTATTATAATACTATTTTAATTATAATACTACTACTACCGTTGTACTACAATTCTACTGTTACATTATACTATTTATTTCCTCATATTCACATTTATTTTACTGTGTCACTGTAGTACTATTCTGTTTTCGTTATATTACTACTATTTTGGTTTCACCTTAGTACTTTACTTTTATTATAATATTATTTTAATTATAATACTACTACTACTATTACACTACAATTCTACTGTTACATTATACTATTTATTTCCTCATATTCACATTTATTTTACTATGTCACTGTAGTACTATTCTGTTTTCGTTATATTACTACTATTTTAGTTTCACCTTAGTACTTTACTTTTATTATAATACTATTTTAATTATAATACTACTACTACTGTTGTACTACAATTCTACTGTTACATTACACTGTTACACTACGTTAATTTATTATTATTATCAATTTATGATAACCAACTCTCAGAATTAAAAGAATTTTTCTCTTTCTTCAGGTGTTCAAAGGACACTGCACGTTCTCCACAACTCCGAACAGCCCGCCTCAGTGTTCGCCATTTTGGAATCAGGAAACAAGGTGGTTCCACTCATAGCCGACGGACTATTCGATCTATTAATGTACAAAATATCAAGCATTTACACAAACAAGATGCAGAAGGTGGAATCGAAAGGTCCACGATTCGAAATCGGCGATTTCTGCGTGAAACTTGGCAGCGTGACAATTAATCAGAATTTCAAAGGCGTCCTCGTCGAGGTAAGTAATTCTCAAATATTTACCGAGTTACTAAAATTCCACTGTTACAATTTAATACAGAATTTCGTGAATATCTCGTAGCCTGTATACATTGTTACAAATCAATAGCTGTTACGATTGAAATTTCACATTGCATTCCAATTTATTTACATTAAAATTGTATTATTTGTACGGAAATATTGAACTAAATTCCTCTGGAAAACATTCTGATCAATTAGTGAGATATTTGTCAGTTAACAAGAGTCGTTGATTATTTTTGTACGAAATTCTCTTTGTACATCCCCAATAATTTAACAGTGGATTGTGATTTATAAGTGGACAAATATTTATACGTTTATGATGCGTCAAAGACTATAATATTGACAAAGAGCACGTAACTTACATTTCCGAAATTATGTGTATATTTTTGAGGTTTTGCAAATATAATATATAAAAAAAAAATAAAGCTATCCGTGTGGTAGCAGAACTCGTACCACCGCCATAAGTTCGCCATTGCCTCGAGCGATGCCTGAAGCCCGAACTAATTAGGCTAAAAAATAATGCAAGAATCAGAGAGCAGGCATCTTTTCCATTTAAGAAACTCCGAAACTTTTCGAACCGGAGAAACTTTTCCTCGAGCGGATAATCGGTTGAATTAATAATCGTGGCAGATGTCTAGCTCGCTGATTTCCGCGAAACTCGTTACCAGCCCGCTCCCGAAGGAAACCGAGCTGCTAATTAACTCGCGATTTAACTTGAAAATTGCTGAAACACTGCTCGAATAATCGATTGATTAGTGCAATCGCTACAACTCCTCGAACTCTCATAATTTCCCCAAATTAAACTCTTGAGATCTGCTAATTTTGCTTATTTTCGGGCGCGATTTTTAACCCCTTGCAATGTTTAAACTCGTGACTTACGATTCGAATCTTACGATTAAAAATTTGTTGCCTAACTGAAAATACAACTTGTAAAATGTAACAAAATTTTATGAAAATATTTAGCTTGTTAGAAGTAAAAAATCTAATAAAATTTTCAACATGGCGGTCAACCGGTTAAAGTAACAGCTCAAACCTAACCTCAAAGTGTTTATACGATTGCCTAATTTCTGGTTTAATAAAGTTTTTATAATTATAACTTGCTGTTTATAAACGATTGGCAGCAAAAGGGTTAAGCATAAAATGTTTCTCGGTCAACTTTCACAATGGTGTAACTTCCGTTCTACAAACCGGAAACAGTTCGTCCGTAGCGAATATGTTGCTCTCTAAAGCGATCCTTCGTAGTGGCCATTCGTATCGATAACAACGCTGTTTATACCCTCACACGACATACGTTACGATAAACCTCCGTGTTCCTCCATTAATTTCACCGGAAGAAATACTACAACCCATCGGCTAACTTACGATCTTCTTCCCCTAGAAGAAAAATCTCCTAGACCACTCGGTATACAGATACGGATAATTTTATTACCTGGAAACTTTCTACGAGTTTTGGTATTAGTAATAAATAAACGGTCACAATAGGATACTAAATCGGAGAATGGTCTTTTCAGAGAAGTTAAGTAATCTGTTTCTTGCGGTTGCTATCGAAACCCTTTGACACCCTGTCGAGATGATCTTGACCGGAAAAGGGAAACTGCCTGCGAAAGGAACTGCGTTCGATCGATCTTTTTATCGCTAGATTGCTGTGGTTCTGAGGTTTCAGAATTTTTCTTTGTAGTGCGCCATTTTTGGGCGATTGCAGTTCGTGGAGTTAAGCAGTTTAATTTTGTTTAGTTTTTGTAGATTTGTAAATTTGTAAATTTTTGTATTTCCAAATTTCCAAATTTTCAAATTTCCAAACTTCCAAATTTCCAAACTTCCAAATTTCCAAACTTCCAAATTTCCAAACTTCCAAATTTCTAAATCCTCGAACTACCAAGTTACCCAATTTCCAAATCCCCAGTTTCTAAATTCTCCAACTACCAAGTTACCCAATTTTCAAGTTCCCCAATTTCCAAATCCCCCAGTTTCTAAATCCTCCAATTTCCAAATTCCCCAATTTCCAAATCCCCCAATTTCCAAATTCCCCAATGTCCAAATCCCCCAATTTCCAAGTTCCCCAATTTCCAAATCCCCCAGTTCCTAAATTCTCCAACTACCAAGTTCCCCAATTTCCAAGTTCCCCAACTTCCAAATCCCCCAATTTCCAAATCCCCCAGTTTCTAAATCCTCCAATTTCCAAATTCCCCAATTTCCAAGTTCCCCAATTTCCAAATCCCCCAGTTTCCAAATCCCCCAATTTCCAAATTCCCCAATTTCCAAATCCCCCAACTACCAAACCCCACAATTTTCAAATTTTACCTAAAACTTTCTACCTCTTTCAATTTGTTTTAGGTGGAGTATAGACCCTGCGTTGTTCCAGGAAGTGCATGGGAATTGATGCGTGAATTTTTGCAAGGGTTCCTTGGATCTACAGTGTCCAATCAAGCACCACAATATTTACAGGTAATAATTATTACTTTTACATAAGAATATTAATAATAGCATACATATCACCATATATATATATTTTTTTAGAACCGAATGAACGATATTTATCAACCCTTGGATACCATTCAACAATATTTGGAACACTTTGGACAATACAGGAAGGCCACAGCTGTAATTTAAGAGTTTCCATTTAATTGACTAATTAATGTACTTCATGCTTTCTTTTGAACTATCAAGTTAACTTTTAATTAAGTCTAACTTGATAACTTTTAAGTTATTCAGTGTTCATACAATATGAGTGTACTTCCAATAAATGTTTGTGAATGACATTTTATTTGTATACTTCAGTATTTGAAACAGAGATTGTTTGTGCATTGAAAATGTGAAGCCCTGATTTATCAACCAACGTTCTTTCATGTCCAACAGTTTTCTAACTTATCTCCTACAGAATCAATTTTTAATTTATCAACTGTCTTATCACTTTCTAATTTATCAACGTTCCTATCATTTCCTAATTTATCAATGTTCCTGAGCGATAAATTAATACTGGCAAAACTGTGCACATAAGCTCTTTTGTACAAAAGAAGATGACTGTGGGAATAGTTTTTGAGAATTCAAAGAATTTGTTATACTTCTTGTATCAACCCTGCATCAGCGACCAGATACAGTACAATTTGCGATTTGTTCTGAACACATAATTCACATGTTCGGACCCACAGAATACATTACAAAGACCTTAAAATCCATAGTATTGAATGTTTAACAAAAATATAGCATATTAATCAATAATATCAATAATAATTGCGTTTTTTCAATAATTGAACTAGTAGCGCCATCTCTCCGGCGAACGGGGTGAACTACACACTTTTGGAACAGCAGCTTCGTTAGTTCTTATACTTTACCGCTAGATGGCGATATGCGTATATTTTTAGTTCAATTATCATAATTAATTTTATTAATTGATTATAATGAATTGAACTACATTGTTGTACAAGATCAATTAACTTCAAACTGTTTTGACTTTAAAACCATTATCAATTCCCCTCTTTTAAAAAAAAAATCGTTATGCTCTAATCCATGTGAAATTTTACAGATAAGCACCTTTTTAAAGAAAGAATTATCTGTGAGAACATTTTTTGACGATTCGAAAAGAAATGCGCCACCTGTGAAATCGATGTACCTTTTTGTACTAAGCCACTGTCGATAATCCCTCTATTTATATCGCATGAAAATGCCGTCCACGAGTAATCTATCTTATACTTCATACGTGGTTCGTGGTATTATTCAATCTGTTGAGCAGTCAGATTTGGTATGTGACTGACGAAGCATTTAGATAACAAATTTTATCTCGATATGTTTATGTTTTAACAATGCTTGAACGATGAACGATACAAAGTAGCTAAGCAGATCGCAAGGCATAAAAGGTTCTGAGGTAACTCGACAGTTTTTGACAATTTGACAGCAAGATTTGACAGGTTACAAGTTTGACCAATTTATGTTTAATTTCATTTCTTGTTTATAATTATATCTGTCATTGTATACTATCTTACTGGAGCTTAATCTTAATTTTAAAATTTGTGTACAATTTGATGTATCTTGCAGACAGATGGTTTATCAACGAGGAAATCAGAGGGAAGGATCCCCACACTATGTTTTGTTGTATTCGGATGATGAGAATAGTGGAGACGAAGAAAACATATCCTTGCAACCTCGTAGTAGGACTACATCATTGCCACGTAAAGTGGAAGTTATAACTGTTCAACTTAAAGCAGAAGATACGTTGCAGGCTTTGGCACTACGATATAGATGCACGGTAATGATAAACAAAGAAGTAGATAAGGAATTAAAGTACAGTTTAATTAAATTATTAGTTGTATTTATAGATATCAGAATTGAAGAGAATTAACAAGATTCATAAAGAGAATGAAATATATGCAAGACGCTTCATAAAGGTACCTATTCAACCATTTTCTATCTTAACTGAATCGCTCGAAAACAATCAGAGTGGATATACAGACCAAAGTGAAGTAAGCATACCTACAACTAGTAAAGAAACAGAATGTACAGTAACAACAAATCTGTTATTAAGAGATACAATTGTGACTGAGTTGCCAAAAGCAGAAATCAATACAATTATATTAAATTCAGTGTGTGAACCTTTGTCAACGTATAACAGTTCTAACACTCTAGAAATTGCTAGTTCAGAAAATGATCAATTAATTACCACGACAGAAAGTGACACACAAAACTCTCATTTAACAGACGCGTTTAAATGTTCTGGTGATGATTGTGGATTATCCTGGACACAACTCCTTGGATTTTCCCTTTTATTAGGTTTTGCAGGTCCTATTATATACATACTTTACATAGCTGAATTTTCATCTAAAAATCATTCAGCTGCTAATCACTAGTATTCCACTGAGGAAAAATATAGTACAAGCTGCTAAATTTGCAGGATGTGCTGTCTTAATGTAAGCTTATAAAAGACTATTTTAATTCAAATGAGTGAGACTGTATTAACAGATAAATTTGGAATCTCCAAGTATTTGCCATTACCATGTTAGTACTGGCATAAATAAAATACTTAGCGAGTAACGTGATACTCTAAGTAAATGAAAATTATAAGGTACTGTTAAACAGCATAATACATTGTGCCTTTGTGATTAAATATCTGTTTGATACATTATAGAATGGTCTTAAATGCATATGCTATTGCATATGCAAATGAGTATTACTGAGCTTCGGTTTTTGTTTCATTGATCATTAAATGTGATTTACCATAAACCGAGATTGCCAAAGATGTATTCATTGGCATTTGAATTATATCAAAATATATTTATCGTTTTCAAGTGTATAAGGCTTTAAAAGATTGCGTAGTTTAAGTAATTTTTAATCTTTCTTTGTATTAATGATACTAAGAATGAATCCATTGGGAGTATTTGATATTTGCGATCGATTTATATATTTGACATCCAATGCTGTTGTTACATTGACTAAGTGTAAGTTACTCTCTTATTACAGATAGTGATACTAAATATGAATTTTGATAATATTTTATTACGAAGCTGTTAAAATTATGTATATTATGCTTTTGATAAGACAACTGTTTTTTCTCGTTGAAATTTATAAAAATATATATTTTAACAAAAAAATGTCGTTCAATATCCCTCCCATCATTGCAACGTACCCAGATTATGAGGAAAATAATCACACTATTTTAATAAAAAAAATTTTGTACAGAAATGTTTATTTATTAATTTCAGATGTTACAAGTCATAAATCAGGATGGTAATTTTTGTCTTTGTAACCTTCGATTCACGACGGTGTTATCCTTCCCTGTAATATAGTAAAGACGAATTATTATTTATTCATACAAATACTTCACGAGTACATTTTAAGTCGTATTATAAAACTTCAGAAAACGAAATGTCTTTCAATATTATAAATTCAGAAGACCGTCGTTATTTTCATCATTATGCAAATATTTAATGTCAACTGATATACTTTCAATATTACTAACCATGATGTTCCACAACATCAATGACCTTAAAACTTCTTGAAACTTTTCTTTGAACCAGTTCCTTTGGAAACCTTCAAAACATTAAACCTAACTGTTTTACTGAGTGGCCTGCATTCACCTATAGTTACCACATCCCCAATTTCTACGTCTCTGTAAGAAACAGAAAGGAGCATAAATACTACGAACTACCTGCCATTTAAAATACCGATAATGTAAAATATTTGTCAGTAGACGAATAAGTTACTTCACGTAGTTCTTCAGAAGACCGTCGTCAATCTCATCATACAATAGCAATCTCAAAATGAACTATATAGAATCATGACACAAACCTGAAGCAAGGACTCAAGTGAACACTCATGTTCCGATGGCGTTTCTCAAATCGATTATATTTCCTGATGTAATGAAGGTAATCTCTACGTATAACAATTGTCCGTTGCATTTTCATTTTCTGCACAACACCAGTCAGAATGCGACCTCGTATAGAAATGTTACCGGTAAACGGACACTTCTTGTCAATGTAAGTTCCTTCAATTGCCTGTAAGGTAAACAGGTAAGTTAAACTTCTAATCATGCTAGGCTTCTTTAATGAAACACTTACCTCACGTGGTGTTTTGAAACCAAGCCCTACATTGCGGCTATATCTCATAGGCTTCCTCCTTTTGGGGCCCAAACCTTTCTTGCGGTTAAGAAAGATTGTAGGTTGCTTTTGAAACGCACGCTCGGTCTAAAAGCGTAGAAACACATCTTTATATCGCGCTGCTGGTAAAACGCTGTTTGTGCGACCTAACCACGTGTAGCAGTATTACAAGTTATACTCTTCTCACGATATTTCTAAGCGACTAATTCTTTCATCCCATTATGAAGTCCTACGTTAAATACAATCGTATACGTAATAATATTTAAAGGAACCCCAGACAAACGTGAAATATTATGCACATTACAGCTACTAAATCGTACACGTACCTGGTCTGCCATCTTGCCGTGTTGAAAGGGGAATGCAAACCGGAAAGCTGACCAACATCACTCGAGTAACCAGTAGAGCCAACATGAAGGAATGAGTAATAATTTTAGCGGGAATTTCAGAATTGCACTTCTTGAAATAAAAACGAACTTACTATTCTTGTAAAGTAATTAGCTTGAAAAGTTGAAAGGACTGGGAAAACATTTATGCGTGCGAGGAGGGTGCACACAGCGATAAACGGTGGTGTCAGTAAAATATAGTTACGTATTTTTTCGAAATTAGAGACTTTTAGAATATTGTAGGAAGAGTTCAGTGTCCTAGGGTCATAACAGAGCTGAAATTATGCTGTCACAAGTCTCTGAAAGCTTTGGAATATGAATTTTAAAATAATTGCTGGACCGAAAAAAGTCTAGCCATCTAGCAGCGAATGGCGAAACTAATTTTAGGACCTGCTGGAGGTAGGATTTAGTGCCGTTAGTTCCCGCGTTTCGCCGCTAGATGGCTAGACTTTTTTCGGTCCACATATTAAAAAATAAGTTTACCGCTGCCAATGAAATTTAAAAGTTACATACTTTAAAAAAAAGCTCTTCTGTTTCTTTTTGGTTTAATATTATCTGTTATATACACTAAGGAAAAGAGAGGAATAGACAATACAAAAGTCACGTTTGCTGAGAAAACAAATCGACCACAAGCGTGTGCGATTTACACTTTTATTCATAAAATATCTTCTAATTAAATTTTGATATGATACAATGGTCTCTGTCCTCGCGTATGCGTATATTTTATATTATATTCGGCTGTACATAAAAAAAAAGAGGAAAAAGAATCCGATCGAACGTCAATGTTTCCACAATGTTAATCATCCTTCCGCTACTTATCCGTTTGGAGAACGCGGCTGATTACATGGTTGTGAGCGGTCTTCCACGCGCGTATAAATAGAGAAAGACAATAATACATCGATCCACGATCAATCACGATCTTACGGAGTCTTGCAAAGCAAAATGGACAAAGCGGGGTTCAAGACATAGCATATCGTTATAGGAACATGTTCGATTGTACAAATTAGGCACTCTAGTATACGGTGTCTTCTATTAATCAATTTTGTCGAACTACGAGAGCAACGGTTATGTACATATTTTATCCCATTTTAAGGTTTTGCTTCGTCGGTTCTAGATTCATCACGGATCGATGTATTTATTGTTTAAATTCTTTCACTTCCATACGTGTCTCATACAATACAACATAGGTTTTTTAAATTAAAAGTAATTTAGAAGTTAAAAATTTGTTTGTAGAAAATCTGAAGGAAAAGGGGTAGATGCCCCAAGATCTAACCTGAACTGACTTTATCCAACACCTAAGTTGCATGCGACCATATTGTTACTATAATATAGTTTTTACAACGTCGATCGGTTTCTTTTCGCTTGCGAATCTTTTCCATCGCCTGTGTCTTTGCTCTGCGGTTATTTACAACACACTATTCGCTACAATTTTTACAACGTCTACACGCGAAGCGTCACGAGGTTCCACAAGATAGTATCGTGACCCTCCGCGATTTACAAGAAAAGAAATGAAAAGGCGACGTCTCTTTGATATGTACCGTTTCCTCGAGAGAATTAGAGAATCTGAAGGAACTTTCTCTGTCTCGTATGCTATACATACAACATATATATTTATCTATATAATACGTGTCGCGAAACGAATAACTGTTTCACGCACGACAGGTCTCTGTTCTCTTATCGAGCGTTTTTCTTTTATTGTCACCAGTTTTGAGTCTCTAAAACGTAGAAAGGCATATCGGTATCGGTGATTCTTTTGAACAGCTGCTCGGTTCGATCAACAGCGGCGACGATTGTCGGTGTTCTGTTTGTATATACAAGTATTTCTAGCACGTTTCGCGTTCGATCCCTTAGGCCATTTGTTCGAGGTGCACCGAAGATCGAAATCACGTACGATTCATCTTTCTCGTTTTTATCGATTGGCTCGAGTGCTGTTCGTCGGTTAAAGTATAAAGTAGTTACACATCCGGATGACTCGAATGAACGCCACCCGTTTATTCATTTCGCATACTGTTCCCCAATAGGGGTAGAATCAAATTCAGATATTTTCCACTGTTATGCTCGAGGTGACAATTCATTCGAGTTGCACGGTACATCGATGTCGAACAATTCGGATAAAGTTCCACGCGCTAACATCTACGAATTTCATTTGAATAACCTGAGATAGATACACAGTGATGCGAGGTCAGATTTCGTACAATCCAATAAACGGAGAAAGTTCTCTCATACGCAAATCGTTTGAATTCGATGTCCGTTCAAAACATTATCTTTAAACTCGATGTAGCTTGTGTGTTTATGTACACGTTTCAACGGTCGTTACACAGTAATCGAAGCTTGAACTAAAAAGAAAAATCCGTGTTTTGGCATCTAATCCTCGGTTTAGAAATCGTGTCCCTCGAATTCTCGACGACGTTTACAATCTAATTGGCAGGGTCACATTTGAACTCACCCTTACGCTCTTATATCATATCATTACATATCCCAACAAACGACTAGATCACGATGGTTGGATCTCAACCAGATCCTTAAATGCTACGGAGCTCGTGGTCAAGCTAATTCCAAGTTAACGATATATTATTTTTATCAAATATAAACCACTTCGCTATCAAATAATATAGTTATACGAATACAGAGATACAAATAGGCAAAGGGGGGAAAACTGCAAATATCGATTCACGAATATTTACCACCATTTTTATCCACGCGCGCGTTTCTTCGAGGGCAAAACCCGGGTGCAATTTTTGCGAACATAAATCGTGAAATACACGTAATATATAATTACAGAAATTTCTCGTTTCTACGTGCGCGATCAGCGTTTCAAGCGGTGTCCCTCTCTAAACGCAGATGCAAAACACGGTGTCAATATAAAACGCACCCAACAAAAACAAAAAAGAAAACGCGAATTTGAGGACGCTGTTTAAAAAAATATACATGTCAAAGCAGAAACGAACGACAAAACGAATAAATCATTACGCGTGTGTATACAGATCGGCGATGGTGTGCCCGAGGAGTGCACGGAATAATGTATCGAATATTACAAATTTCGAAATAATTTCAAGTACATAAATTAGCAAATTTGAAAATTTGGAAGTAAATATAGAAATTTCAAAATGTACAGTTTTCGGATATCCAAATTTTCAAATTGAGAAAGTGGCTACAGTCGGTGTACGCCGTACTCCGTGCAGAGGAGCCTCGCCCATCACCGAGATAGACCTCTCCAACAAAACCGCCGTAAAAATAAAACGTACATGTTCTCGCCGTGTACAGAAGATGCCTACGTTAAAAAGGTTCACGATTTTCCGTGACGAACGCGAGTCTTACATGTATTTGTACCAACATAACTACGGAACACTGTCGCGTAAGTACACCTTTGACGACGATCGCACCAAGCTTCCGCGTGAACGTCCTTCCTCTGTCTCTCTCCCCTTCGAAAATATAAATAATACGCAGGATCGAGTCCGTGTCGGGAAGAGGTCGATTTTCCTACGATCTACCGTGATACCGCGTACAAAAATCGCGCGGTCAACGGGTCAGATATTCGCAACGCGTCAGAATCGATGACGATGGTTCCTCGAGGTCGAACGACGCTCTCCGATCTTCGTGAACAGAAATAATAAGTGTCTCTGTAAATCGTCAGCCTTTCCCGTTCATGGGTAGCGCTAGGCGAAGGCACGTGTGTAGCAAGGTGAATTCGAGTTCTCTTCGCAAGGGGGCCAGGAAGAACGAACACGAGTTCGATTCGTACGGATGTACAGGATATGTGTATGCGTGTAGAGTGTCTTTCGACGGCGCGCTGGCTCGTTCTTCGATTCGCTGAAGAAAACCCGGAGAAGAAAGATCGCCGGGTCCCGTTGCCCGCTGCGTTGTCCGGAGGGCGCCTCACACGCTGCAACCGGACGTCACCTCCTCGCTGTTCTGCTGATGCGACCAGCGACACTGGTGACAACCTTTAGGCTCCTCCGGCGCGGATGCCACTCCGCCGGACGCCCTCAACCCTTGCTCCAGCTCCAACAGTTGGCCCATGAAATTCAAGTTCGGACTGATGATCGGCCGCGCGTTCTTCACCAGTTTGTACGCCTCCACCATCGACAGACCCTTGTGCCGCATGATGTACGCGATCGCGATCGTCGCGCTGCGAGATACGCCTGCTTGGCAATGGACCAGCACGCTGCTTCCGGCTTTTCGGGCTTCCTCTGTAATCACACAAACAAATATTTTTATTATCTCGCTTTCAGCTGGTTTTCTATTACAAACATAGGGGAGGGCAGCACTGTCTATGGAAGACGCATCGTGTGCGTCACGAGGAGATTAGAAATATATGGGTGGGTAGCACTGTTTATGCAAGACGCACAGTGTGCGTCATGAAATTAGAAATATATGAGAGGAGAGCACAGTCTATGGAAGACGCACCGTGTGCGTCATGAAATTAAAAATATATGAGAGGAGAGCACAGTCTATGGAAGACGCACCGTGTGCGTCACGAGGAGATTTAGAAATATATGGGAGGGCAGCACTGTTTATGTAAGACGCACCGTGTGCGTCATGAGGAGATACAGCAGCACAAATACAAGAGTATGTTAACCGAATGAGGTGGATTTTTAATATGTTGATACTTAGGTATTTTTGAGAATATGCAAATTTCGGGACATATTTGGAGATGTAAGAATTTGAGAACTTTGACGATCTAAGTATATTCCCTTGAATTTGAAGACATTTGGAAATATATGTAGTTTCGAAACACCCGACTCGTAATATTCGAATTTTGAGATAACAGTTTCCGTGAAAGTAACCGTATTCGAAGAGGAAATTCGAACTGCGTAGGTTCTCTGGTCGGGTCCCAAAGATAGGGGTCATCGACGCAGCCTCGGGATCACGTCATCCACAATTTCTAGGAGGTGAATTACGAGCAAAACAAACGAGCGAGCGGGCAACTCGCTCGGATGACGCGAGATCGCGTTGTTGTAAACGATCAAACACAAAACCAGCCGTGTAACCCAAACAGGCGATTCGGTTACGTAACGCGGAGGGACGCTATCGTATCGCCAATGAGTCACGGTGACGCGCGCCTCTATCCTATGCAATGCGCTGGTGTATGTAATACACAAAGGGAGGGCATGAGAACCGCTGCAAGTGCGCATGTTAACGCACGCGGGACTACAAACAACGGAAAAAGCCGACGAATGTACCGTTTTTGCGGAAAACTTGCACGGAGGTTTCGACAGAGTACGAAGAGACATGAATATGGCATTATCTGTATGCATATGAATACATCTACATGAGTATAGGTACACGAGTATATGCATATGACAATATCTACGCGAATATAGGTACATGAGTGTATGCATATGTGCATATGTACATGAGTATATGAATATGAAACTGCATGTGTATGGACATGTGTATGTAACCATATGCATATGATACATGTACATGAGTATATGAATATGAGAATACATGTGTATGGACATGTGTATGGTAACCATGTACATATGATACATGTACATGAGTATATGAATATGAGAATACATGTGTATGGACATGTGTATGGTAACCATGTACATATGATACATGTACATGAGTATATGAATATGAGAATACATGTGTATGGACATGTGTATGGTAACCATGTACATATGATACATGTACATGAGTATATGAATATGAGAATACATGTGTATGGACATGTGTATGGTAACCATGTACATATGATACATGTACATGAGTATATGAATATGAGAATACATGTGTATGGACATGTGTATGGTAACCATGTACATATGATACATGTACATGAGTATATGAATATGAGAATACATGTGTATGGATATACGTATGTAACCATATGCATATGTGTATACATATATACATGAGTATATGAATATGAGAACACATGTGTATGGATATATGTATTCCACCATATGTATATGAGTATATGAATATGAGAATACACGTGTATGGATATATGTAAGTAACCATATGCATATGTGTATATGTACTTGAGTATATGAATATGAGAGTGCACATGTATGGTTATATGTAAATAACCATATGCATATGGGTATATGTATTCCACCATATGCATATGAGTATATGTATGTACATGAGTATATGAGTATAAGAGTGCACGTGTATGAATATATGTAAGTGACCATATGCATATGTGTACATGTACATGAGTATATGAATATGAGAACACATGTGTACGGGTATACGTATTCCACCATATGCATATGAGTATATGTATGCACATCAGTATATGAATATGAGAGTGCACGTGTATGGATATATGTAAGTGACCATATGCATATGTGTACATGTACATGAGTACATGAATATGAGAGAGCATGTGTCTGGATATATATGACCATATGTATGAGTATATGAATATAAATGTTACGCCATGACGGTAAAAGATCATGCATGTACAGCACACAGTCTGCAACTGAGCGTAAATAACGACTGTTCAAGAGCGTACATATACGATATTGGTACTTAACCCCAATTCTTCGAGTGCGTATATATACGTACGTAAATGTCCATTGTTGAGTGAATACGTATGTTATAACATCGAAAGGATTACTAAATTGCCTGCTACAATCTTTCATCTAAAAAAATAGATAAGTTATCTCTCAATTTGAAAGATTAAAGCTATTGGAGATTTCGAAAATCCCGGGGCCTAATCGCTAACGCGTGGCTAAACGACGATAAGCAGCGGGACCAATCTTATCTACGGATCGTTGCTCGCGTAATAGAAGTGGTGTAGGTAAACGTTAGTCGAGACAGGGAGGGGTGTATCGGCCCCTAAACGTTGTAACACAGGAGTTAGGGTGACGTGCGTGCGATCACTCGTGTAGACCCCGCGAGCAGACATCTGCTATGAGTCACAAATGACGAATGGCCAGACGGAGAAAGCGGGGAGGAAAGAGAGGAGCGGGAAAGAAAAGGGGTTTGCAAGAACTAGTGGAAAGCTGTGAGAGCTTTCTTGGGGATGAAGAGCCTGGGGAGTGGAAGCAGAAACTGGGGCGAATTAGAGGAAAAGTAGGAGAGGATATTTTGGTAATACACACGGGACATATGTGTACACAGTAACAAAAAGCTGTGACACCTGTCGCGATCCTGTAAATGATATCGTGTTCCGGGAAAAAGGTACTTGTTGCCTCGACGCTATACTTATCCTACATCATTCTTCGAAACGTTATTACCTTACAAAATATAGGAAAGATAGGTTTCTATGTAAAAGTGAAATCACAAACATGCTACATAAAATTTATAAAAGTGTAAAACATCTCGACAGGTTCTGTAAAGCATCCGAGCAATCGGAAAGGAATTAACAGAAACGTTTCCGGAATTTAAATCGGAATTCCCGATGACATATTTTCCCTCGCCGCTCGTTTTTCCCTCATCGACGGCATTGCACCAGGCGGTTCGGTTTAACGGAAACAGGGTGTAACTAGCCGTTTCCGGTGGACCATTCACCGTGCGAGGACTAGAAGACGAAAGGCTTCCATTCATGAAACCATGAGTCATGGGTGCACGCGCGCACCATCGAATGCACACTCGTAAATCCCCATCATCACGGTGTTGGCCCAATGTCGGGCCTTCTTTGTTTGTGTTGTATGTTTACTGCACCGCATTCTGTTGTCCCGTACGGGGTCGTGTGTGTAACCGAACACAACGAACGCGAGTGCGTGCGTGTACCCCATACGCACATGCGCCCGAACACTTACACACGAGGGAGAGAGCCCTACCGAATGTGCAACTGGTGGAATGCTGTACCTGGCCAACCGTCCCCAACACCCGTAGGGACTGTTGCGTGAAATGAAGGGCACCTTGGTGCGTTGACCGTTAAGGAACCTCTCCATGGAGGACAAACAAAAGCAGAATTTAACCCTTTGTAGGTTCGAACCGTGTGGACCTTGAAATAGGTCTGAGGTACGTTCAAGGCATTATCAATATTCACCGGAATATTTCAATAGCTATAAAGTCTGAGTGCTGCATTGACACGCGTTATATTGCCATGCGCCGAATTTCAACATTCCGAATTTCCACGCAAGATATTGCTACGTAACAAATTGCTACTCGTCGAATTTCCACGCGTCATATCGCCACGCACCGAATTTCCACGCGTTATATTGCCACATACCGAATTTCTAAGCGTCGAATTTCCTCGCATTATGTCGCCATGCTCCGAACTTCCACGCGTTATACTGCCACGCACCGAATTTCGACGCGCCGAATTTCCACGCGTTATATCGCCACGCACTGAATTTTAACACTCCGAATTTCCACGCGTTATATCGCCACGCGCCGAATTTCCACGCGTTATATTGCCACATACCGAATTTCCCTGCATTATATCGCCATGTTCCGAACTTCCACGCGTTATATTGCCACGCACCGAATTTCGACGCGTCGAATTTCCTCGCGTTATATCGCCATGCTCCGAATTTCCACGCGTAATATCGCCACGCACCGAATTTCTATGCGTCAAATTTCCACGCGTTATATCACCACGCACTGAATTTCTATGCGTCAAATTTCCACGCGTTATATCGCCACGCACTGAATTTTAACACTCCGAATTTCCACGCGTTATATCGCCACGCGCCGAATTTCCACGCGTTATATTGCCACATACCGAATTTCCCTGCATTATATCGCCATGTTCCGAACTTCCACGCGTTATATTGCCACGCACCGAATTTCGACGCGTCGAATTTCCTCGCGTTATATCGCCATGCTCCGAATTTCCACGCGTAATATCGCCACGCACCGAATTTCTATGCGTCAAATTTCCACGCGTTATATCACCACGCACTGAATTTCTATGCGTCAAATTTCCACGCGTTATATCGCCACGCACTGAATTTCAACACTTCGAATTTCCACGCGTTATATCGCCACGCGTCGAATTTCCATGCGTTATATTGCCACGCATCGAATTTCTACGCGTCCAATTTCCTCGCATTATATCGCCATGCTTCGAATTTCCTCGCGTTATATCACCACGCACTGAATTCCTATGCGTCGAATTTCGTCACATTATATCGCCACGCGCCGAATTTTCACTTGTCATATCGCTATGTACCGAATTGCTACGCCTCGAATTTCCACAAGTTATATTGCCATGTTTCAAATTTCCTCGCGTTATATCGCCACGCACCGAATTGCTACGCGCCGGATTACCGTGTGATATACCACACACCGAATTACTACACATGCATTATATCATCTACGGATCGATTTTTAACATACCTAATCAACACACTATAAATCATGGACTTATTATCACGCATTATATGGTTAGGTTTGACCTATAACAATTCTTTCTACCAGATTCCTCCATACTTTCTGCAATGATCCACTTACGACGTCAAATAAGATCAAGAATAATAAGGTCGAATAAATTTCGAATTGCGAACGCAACGCGCAAGCGCACTCAGAGCGCGGCAAATACAAACAGATTATAGTAACCGAGGACACACCCATTCGAAAGAATTACTCATCGACAGCAGCTAACATCTCTTTGTGACTGCTCTCTCATCTCTTTCCCTCGCGATAAATTAAACGTAGCCTCCTCTCTAACCTCCTGACATTTTGCACCGTCAATGCAATTAGACCAATTTACCGCCGCCGTGGCGATCCTTGTATTTTTGTTGAATCACACGCAACAGGTTCGACAGCGTCAATGGAACGACCACACGTCGTCCGTTCAATGTCAGTATGGTACGCGTTGCTCGTTTCGACCTATTCAACTCTCGCTTCTCTTGTTACGCGATGAATGAGTATGATGTTTGCTAATTCCTGTGACTCGTTCTGCTTCCGAACAATTTATGGAGCTGAGTTTTATGAACGGTGGATTCTCATTCTAGTTTACTTTTACCGTCGGATTATTCCGTGAAATATACTGTACCGTTACTCCCGGAGAGTAATGGCCGATCTACATGAAACGGAGGAGTCACCCATTTCTTCATATTACAGTTCATATAAAATATGCAATGTGCCTATTGCTATATCTTCGTGAAAGGGAGAAGTCACCCATTTATTGACATTGCAGTTTATGCAAAATATGCAATGTGACTACCTATTGCTATATCTTTATGAAAAGGAGAAGTCACCCATTTCTTGACATTGCAGTTTATGCAAAATATGCAATGTGACTACCTAATGCTATATCTTCATGAAAGGGAGAAGTCACTCATTTATTGACTTGCAGTTTATACAAAATATGCAATGTGAGTACCTATTGCTATATCTTCATGAAACGAAAGAGTCACTCATTTATTGACATTGCAGTTTATAAAAAATATGCAATGTGAGTACCTATTGCTATATCTTCATGAAACGGAGGAGTCACGCATTTATTGACATTGCAGTTTATACAAAATATGCAATGTGACTACCTATTGCTATATCTTCATGAAACGAAAGAGTCACTCATTTATTGACATTGCAGTTTATAAAAAATATGCAATGTGAGTACCTATTGCTATATCTTCATGAAACGAAAGAGTCACTCATTTATTGACATTGCAGTTTATAAAAAATATGCAATGTGAGTACCTATTGCTATATCTTCATGAAACGGAAAAGTCACCCATTTCTTGACAATGCAGTTTATACAAAATATGCAATGTGACTACCTATTGCTATATCTTCATGAAACGGAAAAGTCACCCATTTCTTGACAATGCAGTTTATACAAAATATGCAATGTGACTACCTATTGCTATATCTTCATGAAAGGGAGAAGTCACCCATTTATTGACATTGCAGTTTATACAAAATATGCAATGTGAGTACCTATTGCTATATCTTCATGAAACGAAAGAGTCACTCATTTATTGACATTGCAGTTTATAAAAAATATGCAATGTGAGTACCTATTGCTATATCTTCATGAAACGGAAAAGTCACCCATTTCTTGACATTGCAGTTTATACAAAATATGCAATGTGACTACCTATTGCTATACCAGACACGTGCGTCGATAATGAAAATGAACTCCACCCACTTGACTACGAATAATTTCTTTCAAAGTAGATCAGTGCTGCCTCGGAAGTTTTGCAAAAAGGAAATTGATGAAAAGAGAACTCACCGATAAAGTCGAAGGCCTCCTCGAAGTACTGTTTCAGATTCTGGTGACCGGAATCCGAAGCAGGGATCTGTCTGTAGGTGATACCCCTCTCCTCGTGGTAACCAGGTAATTGGGAAGTGACGTTGAGGACTCTGGTGGCGCCTAGCGCTCTCAGGAGCTGAAGATCAGCCGCGTCCCTGCCGTTGCCGAGGTACAAGAACGGCAGGACTCGAGAGGCAGGATGACTGTCGATGTCCGCGGGTTGGGGAGTCGGTGGTCCAGACAGGCTCAACACCGGACAACCGGGTCCTGGACTCGGGCAACCGCTGACCGTCGATGGACCAGCTCCGCCTGCTGGGAGAAGCGTATCCTCGCAGAGGTCCCTGTGCCGCCTGTGGAACTCCTTGTGTCCACCTGGAACCGACCAGAAAAACGTGTTCGTTAGAAACGTAGGGCTTTCGGGTGCTGCAGGTTCGTTGGGTGCCTAAAAGAACAGCTGGGGAAGGCTCGATCGTGGGAACTGCTCGTGAGAAGTATCGGGTTGCTTTGAAACGGACGATACACCGTCCAGAAGGTACTCCTAGGGAAAATTGCGATGCGAGAGAAAGAGGATCCGCTGATGCATTTGCTACCTTGCGAATCTCCAAACACGTTTGGAGAATAGAAAGATTTGGGAGCTCAGGAACTTAGAGAAATTGATGTTTGAATTTCTAAAAGATTTGGCAATCACAGTAAGTAATTTAATTTATAAGTACTCCTAACTGAGGCATTTGTATCAAATTGAACTACTGTTCCATACATCACACCGTATTATTATCCTACTTAATTTTCCTATATTTTTCTATACGTTCAAACATTTAAAAAGATCGAGAAAAGAATTAGCAGCGCACACTCCAGCGGCAAATTTTACATTACCATCGCAGTATGTAAGAATATGATCAACGGGAGTACTCATGAATCAGATATTCAGAACCGGACTTTCCGTGCAGAATTCGCAATTTTGAATGCTCAGCAAATAAAAGCGACGCAAAGGAAACGAGTCGAGTGTAGAAATTCCATTCCCGTTTCGTGTCCGTACCGCGGAACACAATGCAATGATTCAGCTCCTAGTGAACCAAATTCTGGTCCGGAATTGTGTACTCAGCGATTTCTAGAGAAACGCGATGCTTAGCTAATACACCTTTCCGGCGTAACAGGTACTTCCGTGTGTTAAATTCGCACTGTTTGCGATGTAACCGCAAGCGCTCTTTCAACGCATCATTGGAGAACGAATCTTTGTAATATTCCACTGTGTACTTTCGGTGATTCTGGAAACCTTATCAAAGTTGCACCGTAAATCTTCAATGTTGGAAGTCTGAGAGTCTTAAGAAACGTGGATGAGGCGGTGTAAGAGACCTGTTGTTACTTGAGGATTCTGTTCAAGCTTTTTGAATTTTTATTTTTATGGAGATTGATGTTATATTATTTTGTTATGTGCTATATCGCCACTAATGAAATTAGTACACGTTATATTGCAACTCGTGGAATATATCGCCACGTGTCGAACTTCTACGGGTTATATCGCCACATGCTGAATTGCTACGTGTTATATTGCCACGCTACGAATTTCTTCGTGTTGTATTGCCACGCTTTGAATTTCCTAGCGTTATTTCGCAACGTTCCGAATTTCCTTACGTTATGTCGCCACGCTCCGAATTTCCTAGCGTTGTTACGCAACATTTCGAATTTCCTCGCGTTATATTGCCACGCTTCGAATTTCCTCGCGTTATATTGCCACGCTTCGAATTTCCTAGCGTCGTTACGCAACGTTCTGAATTTCCTCGCGTTATATTGCCACACTTGGAATTTCCTAGCGTTGTTACGCAACGTTTCGAATTTCCTCGCGTTATATCGCCACGCTCCGAATTTCCTAGCGTTGTTATGCAACGTTCCGAATTTCCTCGCGTTATATCGCCACGTTCCGAGTTTCTTCGCGTTATATCGCCACGCTCCGAATTTCCTAGCGTTATTACGCAACGTTCCGAATTTCCTCGCGTTATATTGCCACGCTTCGAATTTCCTAGCGTTGTTACGCAACGTTCCGAATGTCCTCGCGTTATATTGTCACGCTCCGAATTTCCTAGCGTCGTTACGCAACGTTCCGGATATCCTCGCGTTATATCGCCACATTCCGAATTTCTTCGCGTTACATCGCCACGCTCCGAATTTCCATTTGTTATATCATCACGCATCGAATTTCCTCACGTTACATCGCTACGCACCGAATTGCTACGCGCCAAATTCCCACTTGTTATATTGCCACGCGTCAAATTTCTACGCATTATATTACTACGCGCCGAATCGCTATATATCGAATTACTACTCGTTATATTGCCAAGCACCGATTTATTACGCGTTCGATTACCTTCCATTATATCGCCACACGTGGAATTAATAGGCGTTACATCTCCACACCCCAAATTGCTAAATGTAACATCATCAGAATTCATTTCGCCGCTTCCTATATCACAATCCTCCACAGCAGTGCACACCACACGACCATATACTACATCGCCACGTTGCATCCCTCTAAATAACTCTACGTGGAATTGTTCCCAACTTCCTGACGACCGCTGATCGATAAGTTAAACAGCTGCCGCTATATCCACAAGTGCAAACACACGATCAGAATGAAGAAAATCCATCAGGCGCGTGTAAGACCACGAGAAGAGGAAGCTAGAGGAGGAAACGTGGAAACCGCGAATAAACGACCGGGATAAAAATAAAGGAACGCCGGCAATAGAGCAGGATGATGAGAGAGGGGGGAAGAAGAAATGTGGGCTAAAAGTGTCTTCCTCTCCTGACCTGCAGCTCGTAAAGCCTGGCCTGGCTCAACGATGAGTCACTCTTTTAGCCCCCTGCCGTCGCACCGCCATGACCGCCAACCCCGTGTGTGCTGCTGGTGTCGCGAGGCCGATGATTATTCCGCAGTCACCGCAACTAAACTTCCTTTTCACAGGGAAATGGAGGGAGAGGTCCTTCCGGATTCGATTTACTGCCATAATTTTCCTTATTCCCTTTTCTATTCTCTCTATTGGATCTACTTTATCCGCCATTAAGTGATTAGACGCAGTTTTAAATTGCGCGCCGTTCATTGATCTTATTCGTATCGTATAGGCGTAAAAAGATACCGTGTCAACCTTTTGACCTCTAGTTAATGGAAAACACTTTCGTAAGCTACTGAATTCGTGATCTCAGGAAATCTGATCAGCTTAAACATGGTATACGGGCAAGTTTAAAATAATGTAAATCCCAAGCGAATACAAAGGTCCGACTCATCGGAAGCGTATTCACGAATTGACATTATAAGGTTCGATTTGACAGTAAAATGAGCCTATCGGGGATTACGATTCGAAGACGAAACGTTATCGACACGGCGGTGTATAAGTAGACGTAATGCAATACCGTGACCTAGTCTTATGGCGTCTCACCGGAAATCGTAAATTTAGCGCTAGACGCGATATCTTGTATCGACTGTACATGTATTTCAATATTTGACGGAATATTTTCATGATCAAAGATTTCTCGGTGTATTCGCAACGTGAGGATGATATGTGCTGAAGAAAATTGAAATAGGAGTGGTATTGCTATATAATCTGTTATATCTATATCCCTGTGCATCCGATTTCGAAGATAATTGCAAGTTTAATCTAGCGAAATCAACGCTATGGAGACCACACGTGTAACAAGTGCACGTCGAAAGAGTACCGTGATCCCAATGCGCGATCCTGGCGACGAACAAACGGTAATTAGGCTTAATAGGTCGCAATTATTAAGGAAAGGGGTACACAGATGCGTCTTCGCAGGCCATTGGCCTGATTTTAACAGAACGCGCGCGGCTGGCACACGCGTGATCTTTTACCCGCTGACGCGTGCTTCTCGTTTTAGTTCGGGAAATCTGAACTTACTTTGGCAACGTGGTTGTAACGTGCCTTTGAAAACCGGACGAGCACATTTGTCTCTAATTAATATTGCACAATTTCGTATCCTCGTTTCAACAGTTTCTGCTTCAGGAAAGAAGGCAACAATGACGTTGTTGGAGAAAATAGATGCATGATTTTTATTTAAATTTATCGAAGGACAGGGGTTTTCCCTGTTGGAAAATACTCTCTTCCCTTAATTTTGGATTTTTGATCTTTCCTACTATTCGTCATCGTTAATCTTTGCCTCTAAATATTTTAAGGATACTCTGGGGAATTTTGATATATTTTCTCTTCTCATTAATATTTAGGAACATTATTTATATAATTATTGACATTTCATTAAATTATTTATTTATTAGATTAAAATTTTATTTATTAAATTATTATTTTACTTTGTGAATAATTTTTAAACACAATTTTTCCGATTATCTGAAGTTGCGAAAAAACGGCACCCATCCCACCGCAGCACCGCACCATTGTTGCTGCACTTCGAAAACCTAAATTCTATTGATGCTGCATGCAACTACAGATGTTCTATTAATAGTTTAATCAAATTTAACGATAATATAAGTTACAAAAGCAGTTCTACCAGTAACCCAATAAAATTAATAATTAGAAACTATCCATAAAAATAAATAACCACAATCTGCAATAAACTATCGATGACTGAAATCAATTTAACGACCGAAGAATAGTAATATGTATTTTCTTCACAAACATCTGTGAAACCAGAGCAACGAACCTCGCACAACTTGATTGTTATAATGACCTAAATGAAGCGACCTACATTCCTTTACTGCGACGATGCCATGCACTCTCGGTTACCCATGTGTACGCTACGTGTGCAAGATTCCCTAGGGAAAATGGCGATATAGGAGAAAGTACAGTCAAAAACAGTATCTCCCATAGAAAATTCCAGCACACTCGACAATGTACCGTTCGTATCAAGTTATGAAACAAGCACAGTTTGCGAGATACAAAAAGCAAAACAACGTGTTCGAAGAGGCGATTTTCGAATCTTTGCGGAAAGATACATTCTGCTAAATAAACAAAACTCGTCGAAAGAATTCCTCGTACTCTCGTCGGGTAAACGTCTGAATATCAGCGACGTGATTGAATGCAGAAACGAGAGGTAACGAGGGAACGTGTTTTAAACGCAACGCCTCTTGGGGGTCTATGGCATTCGTAATTCCGCCATTCTCGAGATTAACTCGAAACGAGTCATCGGGCACGCATTACACCTAAATCTACGATACCGAGAGGACTGAGTCATCGCGCAAGAGATTGTATTTACCCGCGTGCCTCGTCCAACTTCGTATTTATCCCGCCGCCGCTGCGAGAAAGACGTTTCAGAAATACCTTTGACCATAGTTGTAGAACGACGCTGGAAATTAGGTGACTGAACGGTACCATATATTTACTATGTATTTCGTTGCTAGACCGATTAAACCGATCTCGGTCATTTTCAATGCTTGTTTACTTTTTGTTTATATGCACTTTATTCTTGGCATGCTGGTTATTTGTATAGACGCTATGGTCCATTGTACCTAAGCACATAAACTACCTCTACAAATACCTCATTTCTAAATTCCATAAGAAATTATTTTATATTTATTTTTTATATAAAGTTATAAATGAAAAAATAAAGAGGTCGAGATGGATTTAAACCCTGGTCCCTCGCAGGACAAACGAAACACGTTGTCCGAACGCAATAAATTTCTATCGCTTTATTTCAGAAGAAAACGTCAAGAGCAGATAACTCAAAAACACCGATCTGCTTTTACATAAGGTGTCATTTCCAATGAAGACATATCGAAGTGCCTTGTGCAAATGAATCGCTAAAACGTCACGTAACACGAAAAATATTCTGTCTCTAACAAGGTGTAAATACACGAAGATGCGCAACGCGTGTCAGTATGAATCACTAGGGTTTTGGAGAAAACTAACTGACAGTTGGAGAATTAATGCAACTTCCTTTTCAATCGACAGTGGAATATTCACGATTGTAACGCGCGATAAAAAGGACGAACCGATTCAAGCTCCGGATGCGAAGCAAAAAGTTGACGGCGCGAAAAGAGGAATAAAAGGAAACTCTTACCCCACGGTTCGAGATTTTCCAAAGGGACAAGCCTCAGAACGAGGCACGGTGCTTCTTTCTTGATTCTCATGTTCGATGTGCGCGAGATGATTCCCTCCACGATTCCCAACAGCTCTCACCTCACCATTTGACACACACAAAACAAACGAATTCCCGTCCTCGAAACTTGGTGTATCGCGTGGTTACGCAAACCGACGATTACCAGAGAGAAAACGGTCGATCTCTCGATTGCGTTGCCTCGCGAGTGCTATGCTTTTCGATCGTGCGTTATGAGTTTTTTTCAACGACGCGACGAGACAAAGCGTGTTTACGGATTCACGTCGAAACAGAGATAGATACGTGGCAAAAGCTGTGCTTGCCCTTTTGCTTGTTGGCGGGAGACTGCTGGCTAAGCGGCACGAGAGAGTTTACATGAGGCTCGACTGGATGAGTCATCCGGCTGGACGCTGATTGGCCGGTCGCTTCGTGACGTACACGATTCGCGGACGAAGGCACACGAACGTAGTCGAGTACCGCGCTCTGTCTGTGTACCGTCTGGTCGTCCTTCTCTTTCCAAAGGACGATCGTATTTTCCTTCTTTTTTTACGTTCTTCCTAGTTTCGCGGGGCTTCGTGCATTTCGTCGTAACGGCACGCAACGCTCCGCGGCGTCCTATGACGACCTTGTCGCGCGACTTGCTCGTAAATACATAACGTAATGCGGCTTAATTGCCGAAGCATCAATAAATCGACTTGTTGGATTACAATGGAAAGTTTGAAAGCTCCGGTCTTCCGTGTTTCCATACCCGAGGATCATCCGCTGTATGCATCATTCAATCTCTAATTCAGAATGTTACTTAACGTTATCGGTCACATATTTCGTTATCGAATAAGTGAAAGAAAACTATATTGTTTATAATAGCAAATGGAAATCTTCATTTAAGGTATGAGTAACTATAATTATAAGGTGTTTTACTATACATGCCTATTTGCATTGTGCCAGTTATGTTTGCTGCGCACGTTGAGGACTCGCTTTGATTACCATCGTTTCATGTATCACATGAATGTCACATTTAATTATCAACAATTGTATCATTGTGGATATTATTTTTTGTTTCATTCATGTAGTTTCAGTGTACACAACTGAACGATGAGGAATTGAATCGAGTCAGATCACATTAGCGTCGAATTGAAGTTACTGCAGATCAATTCATAATGGGAGCATGTAAATGCGCCCTTACGCATCCGCCTTAAGCATCCGCTCACGACCCTCCTGCGATTCATCAATTTTATTGTTTACATTATGACTAATGCTCCAAACGAAATATTCGAGCAGAAAATGATTTGCCTCTACGATTTATTAGCCAGGAAATCGGACGAACATCTGGAAGGAAATAGGAGAAGAAATAAAACTTCCTCTAATTCGTGGTCCAAACAAAGAAACACGGGTTATTTATAAGAATTTTGGACGGTCAAAGAAAGTCGAGCACAGGAGTAACACGACTGAAAGATCAAAGGTTGACTTTTGCTGGGAGTAAAAATAAATCGAGGCATTATGCGTCTCTTTCGAATACAATGATTCACGGATCTGCACTGGTGCGCGTGGACGACGTTACGCAAGTTTGCCCCGCAAAACTGCCGTCTAATTTTATAAACTTATCGTGCTCCTTTAGCATTTATGAAACGCACTGTTTGTTGTCGCAGGTGATTCGACCACGCGTGACCCGCCATGATGAACAACCGACATCTCCGAGGGAATCGTTACAAATATGGCATTGAACCCCAACTTTCCACGACGTTTCCTCTTCTGCATCAGGCGTCCCATTAACGGGATCGTGTTACGCGAAATCCACGCCAGTTTTGCGCTACGTATCCTCTTAACCTCGTAATTTGCATATGGCGTCCCAAGGTTTCGCCTACTTCCCCATTCTCTTTTTGTACATTTTTTTTTCTAACAAACATATTGAAGATTTTACTTGTACATCTTAACAACACATGTAAGATTCTTCAGGTATTCGTCAGATTTTGGGAAACCCAGTAGACATTATTTGCAAAGCCGGTGATTTATGAAGGTGTCTTGCGGTTGTGGTACAAGGAAAAGAGTGATGTATACTGGACATGATGATTTCTTGAAATCTGTACCTTTGAGTCACCTCGTGACTTTAGTGCCACGTTTTTTTTCAGATCATAGGAAATTCAACTCCACGTGGCTTCACATGTTTTTGCCATTTCGTCGACAAGGTGTTTATCAATGGATGAAGCAAGTTATATCTTCATTTTAATCGTGATAAAGGAAACCTACACATCCCTCATCATACACACTGTACAAAAATCAGGTATACGTGTATAAGATGAGCAAAGACTTAATAACATTTAAATCTGAACTTTCAGATGACGCTGTCATGTTGGGGTGTCTCTGCACAGTAAAAGTCGATTATTACCGTTACAAGAGGGCTGATTATTAAGTTTGAAATGTATAATACCATGACAGGAGTCCAATATTACATCGGATACCTATATCAGGATTAAAAAAAGCTCTAAGCCCCTGTGATTCATCCATAGATGCATCGAGTGTCATCGCCGGAACGAGATCTCGAGGGGCACGTTTCTCCGAGCAAAATGGTGGTCCCTCGAGGAACGCCGACAAATGATTCAATTCGACACGCGAGATGGAAATCCCTTCAAGGCTAATGACTAAACGTTTAGAGCGAATCGCATGCTGTATCGCGCTTTCTTGAGAATCGATGCGATATTGTCATCGAGTAAAGATGGAAGAAAAAAGAATTACGGACGTCATCCTGCACCGCCCAGATATACCCATAAAGTTTCAGGGAAACTGACTATTCTAGCTCGTGATGTCATTGAAAATCAAAAAATTCTGGTAAACGAAGGTGTTTCGATAAAACACTTCAGGCAAAAAGTTCTTACTTTTCTCAGTTCCATAAAGTTTATGCGATATTTTGAAGGTTTGTCACCGGGTCGATCAGGTCCGAAGATTAGTCAGCTAGGAACGCGGTTAAAAGTCGAGCTTAGTCATTTTCAAGTCCAGATCATCCTCTGAAAAATGTTCTCGATCTAATCGGGACGATGAGGGACTTTGATTTCCAGCGAGTGCACTCATTGTCAACGAGTGACTCGTTTCGATGATGCAATAACCGATGATAAATGTGGATAATTATTTCATGTGTACGCAGGGTATGTTATCCACTTTTTAGAACTGGGTGTAGTCATACCTAGATATGATAAATCCAGTATTTTCGTTCGATGGAACGTGTAGCTTGTTGCATCGACACGTTCTATTTTTAGAGGGTCGATTTTTCATCACACCTTTAGAGATCTAATCAAAATAATATTAGATGACTCACGCTATATCGGTCATAGCGAGCCTTGCCCCCTTTAATCCTGCTAAACGAATTATGAAAAATACTCGACTGTTTTGTGCCTCTTAATGGGTTTGAACGCTCTATTTCTCGTTGGAATCGTAAAACTAATTGTGTAAGGTTTTCAATGCATCTTATAGTTGCAGAATCGTAACATAAAATATAGTACAGTAATATGATAAAGTATAGTAAAATACAATATAAAAATAATGTAAAAACATAGTATAAAAATAGCGCTTCTGAGCACTTAACAATTTTCGAAGCGAAACATGTAATTTTACGAAGCGAATTACGAATGACTCAGAACCAAATATTGCGCAATTTGTTAAAATTCTAATATTATTCCCTAGTTTACTAATGGAGTTATGTTACCGTGCCAATAAATGGAGATAATCGAAAAGAGCACGTGGTGCGAATGTCTAACTAAATTAATCATCCTCGCATTCTTGTTCGATTTCGAGCAGGAATTCAAAAGATGGTCAATCGATTGGTAGCAGATCGAGCCATTCGACGTGAATCAAATGGTAAACAGTGCGATACGTTCCGAGCGTCTGGCGATCCACCATGATTCACCGTGGCGCTCGACGATGTATTGGGAATAAAGTTCATCGATAATACCGGCTAAATAGGGACGATGTAGACATCGATGGAAACTTTTCATGAAATCATCGTAATAGATTTCGTTCTAAACCAATTTCACTTTCGATCCCGGAAGGTCGATGACCTGGACCATCGTTTTCTTTATTCTACGTGCAAAGATACGTCCGATGAGTCAGACCCTGGGTCACCTGATACATCATCTAGATTTATGGCAATGTTATTACGTGCAATATGGAGACGCAAAAGTTGATATCGATGCTCAATGCGGTTCGCTATGAGTCACAGTTTAGAGCGCCTAGGCACTCGGTGACCCTGAATTATTATACCGCGTGCTTTTGTTTACCAGCTTTCAAGTCGGCTGGTTAGCTGCATAGCTTGGACGAGTAGCGTGATTCAGACGCGGACATTTATGCAAGATTTACATAAGTCCGTGATCCTTGTCGCGAGGTCCAGTTCGCGGAAAAGCCATCGATCATGGACGCCATCTTGATGCTCGTGATGCTGTACCATGCGCCACCGAGATGGCTTCGAGCATCCAAACAACTCGTAAACCCGTCTTGTTTAATCGCGGAGTCATTTGCTTATTTAATACCTCGTGAAAATTATTAATACCATTTATTGGGAGATGTTGCAATATTCGTTTTCTAGTTTATTCGAAAGTAGATGTTCTGATTAAGTAAACTCATATTTTAGGAAGACAAAGTAGGTATTTAATTTTAGGGTTGTCCTGCATTTAATACAGGGTTGCTGAATGTACTAATTTATCTTTAATCAAAAGCGTAAAACTGTAAGTAAAAGCATGCAGTCCTCTTCAGCTGCTTTTCCACGGATTAACATTTAAGCTACGACTACTATGTAAATCTGTCTAGTTAAGAAGGTTTACGGCTTGCGGACAATAATTTCAAAGCTTGCCAACGCCGTGTACGTTTCCTGTCAAACATGTTGTTTTCAATCGTAGATTATATCCTGTGCAACACCAACGTGCTATATCATATAGCCTCGACAATTTTACCTACATATTGCTCTGCTGTATTGCCACACGTACGGTGCCATGAGTTATATCGCCATTTTCATACGTTACATTACTATCCGTTGCATATCGAAGCGCGATAGATTATGTCACCTATATTTCACTCACGCTATATCGCCACGATATTCTCATGCGGTGTATCACCCGTTGCATTATTACCCGCTACATTATTACTCGTTAGATTATCACCCGTTAAATATCAGATCACGATAGATTACCTTGCATTTACTTCACTCACGCTATATCGCCACGATATTCTCATGCGGTGTATCACCCGTTGCATGATTACCCGCTACATTATTACTCGATAGATTCCCACCCGTTATATATCAGATCACGATAGATTACCTTGCATTTACTTCACACGCACTATATCGCCACGATATTTCCAAGCGCTATATTATCACCCGTTACATTATTACCCGCCACATTATTACTCGTTAGATTATCACCCGTTAGATATCAGATCACAACAGATTATGTCACCTTGCGTTTGGTTCACACGCACTATATCGCCACGATATTTCCATGCGTGGAATTATCACTCGTTGAATTATTACCTGCTACATTACTACTTGTTAGATTACCACCCGTTACATATCTAATCATGACAGATTATGTCGCTTTCAGTTCACACGCACTATATCGCCACGTGCCGCGTTTCTATTACGTTCTAAAATGACGTATCCTTTATCGAAAGAACTCCGTATCTAAAATTGAAACGAAAAATGTTATCGATCGACACGCGTCTCTAAGCGCCGCAATTTCCGCGTTTATCTGCTCGGTTAGTCACGCTCGACTTTTACTCGAGGATTGCAATAATAGCGAACCTGTCGCGCCGCTGTATATCCCTAATGTTACGCGATAAAAATTGTTTGTTCGACGCCCTCGATAATATGGATTCTCCATTAATCTCCGATTAATCTTCGTGTAATAATGTGAGTCACGAGCAACGAGAAGGAAAATGTCGAGTGGAGTCCTTAAAACGTGCTCGGTGAGTCACGACAGACTTACTGCTCCATTTCCCTTTAATCTCTCGTCTTTGTACGATCATGGTCTGCTTTGAAACCGACTGCTTTCTGTCTTTTATTCGATAAGGATTCAGAGATAGCCATGCTCCTACGGTATTTATAATACGGTGTACTCGAGAAACTGAACTGCTCTTTCGTTAAAGTAAAGCTTTCACCGTTGTGTAATCATTTTATTATTTCGATCACGACAATGTGCGCTTAAAAATATATCCATAAATTAAAAGTAAATTATATCGACGTGTAATGTAAAGAATTACAATCTCCATTAACAGGGGAATTCCGAAACATAGTAAGGGACGAAAATAATTTTCATACCAGACGCATGGAAGCCCACCCCCGTCCATATAAATCACGAGCTACCCTTTTAACCTGTCGCAGCTATTAACGCTCCCTCACAGGTATCATTTTACAAGGCCTCGAAATATATTTGAGAAATTCCGTAGTATTGGCCGGATTCGACAGCGAAGCGAAAGTGGAGGGGTCGATCTCGCAGCGTTCATTCGCATTCACCCTAGTGACCGGTTAAACACTGTTTACAAAGCGGGAAACAGAGGCGACGGTACACGTAATCCGCGGTTAACGTACTGCGCTTCCTGAAGGGAAACCTAACCAGCGACGAAGAGAACGAGGCATCATCGTTATACGTACCACCTGCCACACTCTCGCTTGCTGGTTCGCTGATGAGTTCTGGCCACGATGGGAATCCGTGTAGCCGTGTCTCGAACACACGCGTGGAACGCGTCACGATGGATTCCAGCATGAATGAATCACTTAACGAGAAACACGCGCCGGGCATACATAAATATTCCCTTCTGCTCCAGCGTAGAATGATCCTCGTAGATCATCCGGTAACCAGGCTTCCGTACGCTTTTTGTATTTCAATTTGTACGAATTCGAATAACGTGTCGTATATGAACTTGTTATATTTTTTATTGCTACGCGTCGAATTTCCACGAATTATATTGCCACGCACGGAATTTCTACGCGCTGAATTTACATGCATTATATTGCCGCGTATCGAATTGCTTCGCGTTGAATTTTCACGCGTTATATCGCCACGCATGGAATTTTTAAGCGCTGAATTTCCACGCGTTATATTGCCGCGTATCGAATTGCTTCGCGTTGAATTTCCACGCGTTATATCGCCACGCATGGAATTTTTAAGCGCTGAATTTCCACGCAACATATTGCCGCGAATCCAATTTCTACGCGTCGAATTTCCACGCGTTATATCGCCACGCGTCGAATTTCTACGCGTTGAATTTCCACGCGTTATATCGCCACGCGTCGAATTTCCTCGCGGTACATTGCCACGCGTCGAATTCCCACGCATTATATCGCCACGCACCGAATTTCTACGTGTCGAATTTCCTCGCGTTATATGGCCACGCACCGAATTGCCACGCGTTATATCGCCACGCACCGAATTTCTAGGCGTCGAATTCCCACGCGTTATATCGCCACGCATCGAATTTCCACGCGTTATATCGCCACGCATCGAATTTCCACGCGTTATATCGCCACGCACCGAATTTCCACGCGTTATATCATCACGCGTCGAATTTCCTCGCGGTACATCGCCACGCCTCGAATTCCCACGCGTTATATCGCCACGTACCGAATTCCTCGCGTTATATGGCCACGCACCGAATTTCCTCGCGTTATGTCGCCATGCACCGAACTTCTAGGCGTCGAATTCCTACGCATTATATCGTCACGCTTCGAATTTCTACACGTTATACCGCCACGCGTTATATTGCCACGCATCGAATTTCTACGCGTCGAATTTCCACGCGTTATATTGCCACGCACCGAATTTCTACGCGCTGAATTTCCTCGCGTTATATCGCCATGCGCCGAATTTCCACGCGTTACATTCGCCACGCACCGAATTTCTATGCGTCTAATTTCCTCGCGTTATATCGACAAGCTCCGAATTGTCACGCGTTATATCGCCGCCAATAAATATCGCTACGCACAGTATCAATACATGTTACATCGCTAGGAAAACAGTTGCATTGCTACACGTTCTGGCATGTTGTGTATTTTGAAGCATTGACCCCCGGCATCGACAAATGCATTATATGCACGCAGCAGAATACTATCTCATGCACACGTTTCGCAACAACATTGAATCGAATGTCACCGCGAGCAATTAATCAAACACGTATCATAAATAATTCCAGGCTATTGTTGCGTGCAATATACAGGTGCTATCTACGACTTCTCCATTTGTCAATAAACATTATCGGTAAAAACCAATCATCAACGTGTATTAGCAAAAGTAAAGTCTCACAGATATCTTTGACAGTTTATTGATGCTCGCGAAGCTGTATCAATAGAAACTTTATGTACTCGGATGTGTATGGTAAAGTTGATGGATTTCATATTGCCTTGATTTTAGGAGAAGAAATTAGCGAATTTGCAAATTTTTAAAAAGCTAACTCTGAAAATCTGAAACTCTCCTTCCCAAAAATCACTAAAAATCGCAACCAGTTTCCCCTATATCGTTCCCTGCATCATGTCACGCACTATACTTCCACCAGCGATTCAACAAAATGTTTTGTATCAATTAAGAAAAACGAGAGCATGTTCTTTTGACGGTGGAACCCGCAGGCAGGTGTGTTAAAAATTAGTATTCCCTCGAGGGGTGAAGCTTTTTCGACTGTTAGGTGACTAGTCGCTTTATCGTCGACGTTTTATCGCGGCGCTTATCGTTCAGGTGCTAGCCTCGATATACCGCTGTTTAGTCACCCGATTCAACAAAAAAAAAAAGGAAAAAAGAAAAGGAGGAAAAGAACGCGACGTGATAAGAATAGGTCGAGTACGTCGGCGCACCGAGTTGATAAAAAGAAAAAGGAATGATAACGTCGGAGGAGATAAGGCAAATATTGCCCGGAGAAAATCTTACTAAATTTCTAGGGCACATACGTAACGAGAACCGATAACACAGTTTGATAACGTGCAGAGATGGCGCATTTTTGTCATCTTAATAATGTAAACATTGGGGATAAGAGTGAGAAGAAAATGGAGAATAGAGGACGTCATTACTGCATCAGATCTTTCAATCTTTGTTAAATCATAGTTGATTTTAAATTTAAAATAGAGGGTACTTAATATCATTTTTTAAGGTGAAGATTTATTAAGGCTGCTCTAAAGACAAGATCTCACTGCCAGATAAAGATACCTTCCATTATTATTTTTAGATGATATATGAGAATACAGAGGACGCCATTACTGCATCAGATCATTAAGTCTTTGTTAACCTACGGTTGATTTTAAATTTAAAATAGTGGGTACTTAATATCATTTTTTAGGATGATGAATTTTTAACGACACATGGCTGCTCTACTTGAACACAAGATTTCAGATAAGGATCCCTTTAAATATTATTTTAAAACGATAAATAAACTTGATTACGACGATCAACCGAGTGATTAATTTTCTTCTCCAATAAAGTTAAACAAGTATTTAATACACCCAGCTATCTATTGGCGCCAAGAGACAAACAGTTGCAGCGACCTCCATTTTGCACTCCAGCAAAACAAAATGGAACCGAGGTACTCGAAACCGACAGATAATCGTCCCAAAAAAACATACCTGAGTAAAAAAGTGTCTACCTGATTTACAAAAGGAGAAGAGCGATGAAATCAGAGTCGTTTATGAATCAAGCGGAGGTCGGTAGGAGCGATAATCGAGCTTGTCTGCGGATCAATGAGCGAAAATCAGAAGCCGTGAACGGAAGGGGGACATGGCAGACAGGAGGGCCCGGTGGATTCTGTGATTTATTCGAGAGTGGTCCACGCTCTGTCTACGCTCGTGCCACGAATAGCCCCACGGAATCATACCGGGTGTGTGACTCAGCCATCGTAGTAGGAAACGACTGCGTTTTCGAAGGACGCTCGTGCTCGACGCTTTAACGTCGTCGTCCCCGCATTCTTTCCGCGTCCACGCACCACACAGTCTGATTCATTTCGCGCTAATAACCTCGTACGACCCTGACACCTCCTTTGCTTCGTGACCTGCTCTTCTACCTGTTTTTGTGCAATCTAGGGACTGCGTTTCAACGATTTTTATGTTGTCGGCAGGTTATCTGGCGGTTATTTATCGGGCGGCTAGATTTGCACTTTTGGTAAGTGTATCGTGTCGAGCATGGGTGGATGAAGTGTTGGAAATTTGGGGTTTAGAGGTTGTTGACTAGTTGAGAATTAGAGAGATTTGGAAATGTAGGGAATTGGGGAATGTGGGAATTGGGGAATGTGGGAATTGGGGAATGTAGGAATTGAGGCAAAGTGGAAGTGGGGAATGTAGGAATTGGGGGAAAGTGGAATTGGGGAATGTGGGAATTGGAAAATGTGGAATTGGGGAACGTGGGAATTGGAGAATATGGGAATTGGGGAATGTGGGAATTGGGGAATGTAGGAATTGAGGCAAAGTGGAAGTGGGGAATGTAGGAATTGGGGGAAAGTGGAATTGGGGAATGTGGGAATTGGAAAATGTGGAATTGGGGAACGTGGGAATTGGAGAATATGGGAATTGGGGAATGTGGGAATTGGGGAAGGTGGGAATTGGAGAATATGGGAAATGGGGGATGTGGGAATTGGGGAATGTGGGAATTGGGGAATGTGGAATTGGGGAATGTGGAACTGGAGAATGTGGAACTGGGGAATGTGGGAATTGGAGAATGTGGAATTGGGGAAAGTGGGAATTGGAAAATATGGGAATTGGGGAATTTGAGAATTTGGAGAATGTGGGAATTGGGGAATGTGGAATTGGAGAATGTGGGAATTGAGGAATGTAGGAATTTGGAAATTTAGAAATTCCAAAGTTTCCTAATTTTAATTCAAAATAATGAAAGCCATGAAATATGATACTTTGGAATCTTAAAATTTGAAAACCAATAACTTTGAGACCTCCAATATCATACAAGAAATTCCAAATCCCATCCCCAACGCAATATATGGCGGTCCAACCCATATTTTGAAGATGATCCCACCCTTACTCAACAGCGTGTTTTATAATTCGTTCAATTTGCATAATCGATGATGCATCGTTTTCCACCGTCCCTATATCAAGCTATTGTTAGATTCTTCATTTATGGTTACATCGTTTGGTGAAAACTTCTGGTTGT